GTGTAACGACCAAGTGTCATTTCGTGGAATTAACTGACAATTGGAAGCCAAGCCACGTCGAGGACGAGTTCTAAATATATCGTTTTCAATTCGTGGCGTCTAACGTTCGAAAAACACAATGGAATTACTCACTCGATGAGATCCATGCGGACATAGTGCTACTCATTGAGTACATGGCTCGTTCATGTGTCATATCCGCTATGTGTCACAGCAAACGTAACGCATCTACATCACAGCAATAACACAGCTACATCACAGCAATAGCACAGCTATGTCACAGCAAACGTAACGCTACATCACAGCAATAGCACAGCTATGTCACAGCAAACGTAACGCTATATCACAGCAATAGCATAGCTATGTCACAGCAATGACACAGCTACATCACAGCAATAACACAGCTATGTCACAGCAAAATTAGTACCGAGATATCGCAGCAATAGTACGTCTTTATCACAACACCAGTACCGCAATATCCTAGCAATAGTAACAAGGTGTGACAGCAATAGTAACGGGATGTTACAGCAATAGTAACAAGATGTCCCAGCAATAGTACGTCGATATCACAACACTAGTACCGCAATATCCAAGCAATAGTAAAGGGATGTCACAGCAATATTAAAGAGTTGTCACAGCAATAGTAAAGAGATGTCACACTAATAGTAACGAGATGTCACAGCAATAGTACGTCTATATCACAACACTAGTACCGCGATATGCTAGCAATTGTAACAAGATGTCACAGCAATAGTAACGGGATGTCACAGCAATAGTAACGAGATGTCAAAGCAATAGTACGTCCATATCACAACACTAGTACCGCAATATTCAAGCAATAGTAAAGGGATGTCACAGCATTAGTAACGAGATGTCACAGCAATAGTACCGAGATGCCACAGCATTATTATCGAGATGTCACGGCAATAGTAGCGAGATATCACAGCAATACTACCGTGATGTCAGAGCAATAGTAACAAGATGTCACAGCAATAGTAACGAGATGTCACAGCAATAGTAACGAGATGTCACATCAATAGTAAGGACATATGCCAGCAATAGTAACGAGATGTCACAGCAAAAGTAACGAGATGTCACAGCATTAGTACGGAGATGTCACAACATTAGTACCGAGATGTCACGGCAATAGTACCGAGATATCAGAGCAATAGTACCTAGATATCACAGCAATAGTACCGAGATGTCACAGCAATAGTAACAAGATGTCAGAGCAATAGTCACAAGATGTCACAGCAATGGTAACAAGATGTCACAGCAATAGTAATAAGATGTCACAGCAATAGTAAGGAAATATTACAGCAATAGTACGAAGATGTCACGGCATTAGTACCGAGGTGTCACGGCAATAGTACCAAGATATCACAGCAGTAGTACGGAGATATCACAGCATAAGTACCGAGATGTCACGACATTAGTACCGAGATGTCACGGCATTAGTACCGAGATGTCACAGCATTAGTACCGAGATGTCATAGTATTAGTACCGAGATGTCACACCAATAGTAACAAGATGTCAGAGCAATAGTCACAAGATGTCAAAGCAATAGTAACAAGATGTCACAGCAATAGTAACGAGATGTCACAGCAATAGTAACAAGATCTCACAGCAATAGTAAGGAAATATTACAGCAATAGTACGAAGATGTCACAGCATTAGTACCGAGGTGTCAGGGCAATAGTACCAAGATATCATAGCAGTAGTACGGAGATATCACAGCATTAGTACCGAGATGTCACAGCATTAGTACCGAGATATAACAGCAATAGTACCGAGATGTCACAGCATTAGTACCGAGATATAATAGCAATAGTACCGAGATGTCACAGCATTAGTACCGAGATATAATAGCAATAGTACCGAGATGTCACAGCATTAGTACCGAGATATAATAGCAATAGTACCGAGATATCACAGCAGTAGTACCGAGATATCACAGCATTAGTACCGAGATGTCACAGCATTAGTACCGAGATATAACAGCAATAGTACCGAGATGTCACAGCATTAGTACCGAGATATAATAGCAATAGTACCGAGATTTCACAGCATTAGTACCGAGATGTCACAGCATTAGTACTGAGATGTCACGACATTAGTACCGAGATGTCACGGCATTAGTACCGAGAGGTCGCGACAATAGTAGCGAGATATCACAGCAATAGTAGCGAGATATCACAGCTATAGTATCGAGATGTCACAGCAATAGTAACAAGATGTCACAGCAATAGTAACGAGATGTCACAGCAATAGTAACGAGATGTCACAGCAATAGTAAAGAAATATGCCAGCAATAGTAACGAGATGTCACAGCATTAGTACCGAGATGTCACAGCATTAGTACCGAGATGTCACAGCAAAAGTACCGAGATATCACAGCAATAGTAGTGAGATATCGCAGCAATAGTACCGCGATGTCACAGCAATTGTAACAAGATGTCACAGCAAAAGTAACAAGATGTCACAGCAATAGTAACAAGATGTCACAGCAATAGTAACGAGATGTCACAGCAATAGTAACGAGATGTCACAGCAATAGTAAGGAAATATTACAGCAATAGTACGAAGATGTCACGGCATTAGTACCGAGGTGTCACGGCAATAGTACCAAGGATATCACGGCAGTAGTACGGAGATATCACAGCATTAGTATCGAGATGTCACGGCATTAGTACCGAGATGTCATAGTATTAGTACCGAGGTGTCACGGCAATAGTACCGAGATATCACAGCAGTAGTACCGAGATATCACAGCATTAGTACCGAGATGTCACAGCATTAGTACCGAGATGTCACAGCATTAGTACCGAGATGTCACAGCAATAGTACCGAGATATCACAGCAGTAGTACGGAGATATCACAGCATTAGTACCGAGATGTCACGGTAATAGTACCGACATATCACAGCAATAGTACCGATATGTTACAGCAATGGCACAGCTACATCACAGCAATAGTACCGACATGTCACAGCAATAGTACCGAGATGTCACAGCAATGTCACAGCTTCATCACAGCAATAGTAACGAGATATCACAGCAATAGTACCGACATATCACCGCAGTAGTACCGAAATATTACAGCAATGACACAGCTACATCACAGCAATAGTACCGACATGTCACAGCAATAGTACCGAGATGTCACAGCAATATCACAGCTTCATCACAGCAATAGTACCGAGATATAACAGCAATAGTACCGACATATCACCGCAATAGTACCGACATATCACAGCAATAGTACCGAGATGTCACAGCAATAGTACCGATATATCGCAGCAATAGTACCGAGATATCACGGCAATAGTACCGACATATCACAGCAATAGTACCGACATATCATAGCAATAGTACCGACATATCACAGCAATAGTACCGACAATAGTACCAAGATGTCACAGCAATGGCACAGCTACATCACAGCAATAGTACCGAGATATCACCGCAATAGTACCGAAATATTACAGCAATGTCACAGCTTCATCACAGCAATAGTACCGAGATATCACAGCAATAGTACCGAAATATTATAGCAATGGCACAGCTACATCACAGCAATAGTACCGACATATCACCGCAATAGTACCGAGATATCACGGCAATAGTACCGACATGTCACAGCAATAGTACCGAGATGTCACAGCAATATCACAGCTTCATCACAGCAATAGTACCGAGATATAACAGCAATAGTACCGACATATCACCGCAATAGTACCGACATATCACAGCAATAGTACCGACATATCATAGCAATAGTACCGACATATCACAGCAATAGTACCGACAATAGTACCAAGATGTCACAGCAATGGCACAGCTACATCACAGCAATAGTACCGAGATATCACCGCAATAGTACCGAAATATTACAGCAATGTCACAGCTTCATCACAGCAATAGTACCGAGATATCACAGCAAAGGTACCGAAATATTATAGCAATGGCACAGCTACATCACAGCAATAGTACCGACATATCACCGCAATAGCACCGACATATCACAGCAATAGTACCGACAATAGTACCGAGATGTCACAGCAATGGCACAGCTACATCACAGCAATAGTACCGAGATATCGCCGCAATAGTACCGAAATATTACAGCAATGTCACAGCTTCATCACAGCAATAGTACCGAGATATCACAGCAATAGTACCGAAATATTATAGCAATGGCACAGCTACATCACAGCAATAGTACCGACATATCACCGCAATAGCACCGACATATCACAGCAATAGTACCGACAATAGTACCGAGATGTCACAGCAATGGCAAAGCTACATCACAGCAATAGTACCGACATGTCACAGCAATAGTACCGAGATGTCACAGCAATGTCACAGCTTCATCACAGCAATAGTACCGAGATATCACAGCAATAGCACCGACATATCACAGCAATAGTACCGACAATAGCACCGAGATGTCACAGCAATGGCACAGCTACATCACAGCAATAGTACCGACATATCACAGCAATAGTACCGACATATCACAGCAATAGTATCTCTATATCACAGCAATAGTGTTTCTATTTCACAGCAATAGTGTCTGTATATCACAGCAATAGTGTCTCTATATCACAGTAATAGTGTCTCTATATCACAGCAATAGTGTCTCTATAACACAGCAATAGTGTCTCTATGTCAAGGCAATACTATCGCTATAATACAGTCACAGTAATGCTATATCACAGCAAGTAGCCAAGGCAATAATACCGTTATTTCACAGCACTTTGACATCTGTATTAAAGCTGTGTCACAGAAACAGTATGTCACACAGCAATATTACAGATATACAACAGAAATATTGAAGCTATATTATAGAAATAATGAAGCTATTATAGCAATATCCCAGATATACATTAAAGGTACATCACAGCGATAGTACAGCTATATTATGTTTATGTCACAGCCCACTGGGTCGTGATCACATGTCTTCAGTATCCACAAGTGTTGGACTGAGCACACTCACCTAACTTGGAGACTTTGCATTTCAGCGTTATATTCGTCCCCTGCATCACAGCATATCCCTGGGGCTTACTGGAGAATTGCTGACCTGAAAAGACAAAATAGAAGTTTGATATTTTCTGATAGTACAAGAGGTATCGATGTATCGTGTGTTCCATGTGGAAGTCTCTATCGGTACGTCAATGTTGTTTTATGCCGCATTTATTTATATTACAGCTGAGTTTGGGTATTTTCTACAGTTTAGTGTTTAACACGGCACTCAACTATAGTCCAGCTGTGTGATACGCCAGTGGTTGGTATTGGTATTAGGGAGGAAAGCCCGAAGTGATGCCGGTCTCACACGTTTACCACTGCGGTGAGACCAACGAGCACGGGTATGGTGCTGACAAACCTAGAAACATAATCGGGGCGAACCGGGATACGAATCTACAATCATAGGTTTCTGGCGTGCCCAAGGGACGCAACTCTGCACAGCGAACCGCGGGGCCTCAGACGACTGGGTCACCCGTGCCCCCGGGACATATCATAACTGTGCTAACCAACCAGGAATGATATTTGTATTTATTAATTATATTTTGATTTCATATGGCATGGTATTTATGTAATCAAAAGGTTGAGCAATTTGATGTGGTTTTTTTCCGGAACCGCGTTTCTTGTGGGTTTTTTTTTTATCCCCCGTAAATATGCCAGGGTCACGGCGCCCTACGTAGGGCAAGTAATACACGAAGCTCACGTACAATCCCCATCATGAAATTCATCTTAAATCTCACCAGAATCACAGTTCTCACATATAGCAGCTATAACTGGTCAACATAATTTGATTTTCGGATATTATTCACATTTAAGTTAAGAAGAGAGATTCTAGATTTGCGAAATACCCTGATCAACGCTTTACCATTTAACTTTGCGATGTACATTTCTGTTCCAAATGATCCTTTAACACATGAATATTGTGTTAAAAAGTTTGATGACCATATTGATTTTTGACATTTTTATATATATATATATTTAACTCTGCGCAAATATACACAAAAACAGCTTCTCGGCACCAACACTTTGTAAAAGCCAGGCATGGTAACATCCGCATGAAAAACTAGCATATGTCGTACATCCGGGGCCAAGTTATACTTACCAATATCATCAGATTGTTTTCATAATTCATAACATAGATTGAGATAGCGATATGATTCCATATTTAATCATTTTGAACAAAATTTAAGTACTCTTCTTTTGCTTCATACAAACAGATGCAAACGGAGGTAAACGGACGCTCTCACCCAGAACAACCACATTATATTCGCTGTGGAGAGTTGCGTCCCTTGGGCACGCCAACAACCTATGATTGTGGGCTCGAATCCCGGTTCACCCCGAGACCTGCATCACTTCGGGCTTTCCTCCCACATCATTTGTTTGTTTGTTTGTTTGTTTATTGTTTAACGTCGCACTCAGCAATAATCCAACTATATGACGGCGGTCTGTAAATAATCGAGGCTGGACCAGACAATCTAGTGATTGATATCATGAGCATCGATTCACACAATTGGGATACGATGACATGCATCAACCAAGCCAGCGAGCCTGACCACTCGGTCCCGTTAGTTGCCTCTTACGGCAAGCATGGGTTGCTGAAGACCTATTCTACCCCGGATCTCCTCCCACATTAAGCTGACACACCGTGATAAAACTGGAATACTGTTTAAAGCGGCGTTAAAGCCAACTCACTACCTCACTCATGCTGATTGTGGAATGTAGCTAGATTGACTTGCCTATTATAGATTGGTTTTGATCAAATGCACACTGTTAAACAATCATGCTGCAGGAATAGCTCAATTTTTTTTCTAAAAACAGCTTCCGTCTTCGCTGTAACGTCCACCATCTGGAACCTTTACAAGCCTCCCTCCTGTTACATGTAGACTTGGCCAGTCTCTAACGATGTTATTTTGATATTTTTTTTCTAAAAGTTTAATCTAAATTTGTAAATAAACCACAACACTATTCTTCTCCGATATAAGTGATCCTTAGAATCGGCCTACATCGACTTGTTACCAAATTAAAAAAGATTTTCCTTCTGCCCAGCCTTGAAGAAGTCTATTGTTTCATGCAACATTCCCTACAGTCTGTCATACAGACCCTGAGGCAAATATATCCAATACAGCCCATGCAAGTCTATCATGTTTGGCAAGTCAAGACTGCTGCAGTATCAGAGTCTGAAAATGAAGAAAAGTCTCTGGACTCCTTTTTATTATATTTTAAATTAAACTATATTTTAACAACTATTTTTTCTCTCTATAAAATATGTCCATTTCAGAGATGAGATGTTTGTCTATCTAACAAGCTACCCTACCTTTCAAAGCGAGTCAAAATAAACCAGCCTGCCATCGCTCACTACGCTTTATGGCCTTGTTCAACACACATCTTTTTTATCAACAAGGGAATGTTTTCTTCCTGAAGCACTTCGAGGCAATGCTTGAAAAATGTTTACACCTCATAAGCATTGTTTTTTTACACTGAAGTGCACACTTAATTTCCCAGGAAAATGTATGCGCCATATCACATTAACAGAAGGGTTCTGTCTTCAATTGGAAGCTATGCGTTTTCAGCATAAATAAGATATGTAGGCCTAGACGTTTTAATTAGTGTCTCGTCTGATCTCAAACATGCTCTGGTGTAAGAAGGAAAAACATATGCGTTTAATTATATTACACTAGATTCCACACACCAGTTACACAATTATTACCACGACAGTACTCCCATGAATCCACCCAGAATGATTTGGTAAGTCTAGATTGCCTCAGTTCTGAAACTAAGCGTTGTTCTGGCTCCATTTTATTTATTTTGTATTTTGTAGATAGATTGTAGATAAATAAAATAACTTAATTTCTGGGACTAAATGTTAATCTATTCATAATGCATCGCACAATGTAAACGGTCATTGTCTGACCACCAGTCTGTCATACAGACCCTGAAACAAATATATCCAATACAGCCCATGCAAGTCTATAATGTTTGGCAAGTCTAGACTACTGCAGTATCTGAAAATAACAAGAGTCTTTTTTATATTTGTATCAAGATGAATTAAGAACTGTTTTTTTTCTGTCAGATACATGTATGTTCATTTCAGAGACTAGATGTAAGTCTACATTCCCTCTTATTGTTGCCTTTAGTCTGTTTCCCAGACCCCAAAGAATAAATTGATAAAGGAGTTCAACGCAAGTCTAGAATGATTTGGCAAGTCTAGATTGCCTCAGCTCTAGGTAAGGATTGTTCTGGGCTCCATTTGGATTTTATTATTTTTATTTTGAAGACATATATTTTAAATAAGATAACTTTATTTCTGGGACGATATGTTAGTTTATAACACCCTTACTTACCCCTACGCCTCCTATTCGTTGATTGTGTGCGTGTCAGCCGGCAGTTTGACGTCATATACGAGGAATTCTCGCCAAAGTCACGATGGCGGCGAGATTTGGCGAGATTTGGTTTATGGCATTAACCATGTGCTGTTTTGCAGTGTTGGGAAAATGATGCGCCTCAAGTACGGCACATATTACATATCACATCTGTCTCTTGTTTAACATCCTGCAGCAGCTATAAATTAGATTTTGTGGGGCGTTCTGGCATTCGTTATTTCAATAATTACCTGATCGTATTTTGTGGCATTTCCCAAAAATAATTTGACAGTCAATTTCTGTTATATTTTCATTTTCGATTATCGAAGATATTATTTGCACTCTATGACGAGAAATACCCCAGCCACATTTGCCACCATAGCTGTGTTCCGGAAGTGACGTCACCTTTTCAATCGCTCATAAACTTATGCTGGACAGTTTCTCTCGCTCATGAGTGTAATTGGGTTGGACAACACGTTTAAGGGTTATAAGATATGACAATATGATAATTAGATAAGATAAGATAGGTGAGGTGAGGTGAAATTGGGTTTAACGTCGCGTCCAAGATTATTGCACTTATATAGCGACGTGCATGCACGTGTATGTGTGTGTGTGGCTGCTTGTACTAGTCCGGACTGATGCCGATTTATAGTGCTAGCTCACTGAGATACCATGCCGCAGTTTAACATGAATACCCCACTCAGACACAGTATACTGACTCCGAGCCGACCAGTCCTTGTTTTAGCCCCTTAATGCCGAGCGCCAGACAGGGTAACAACAAGTACAATCTTTTAACGTCTTTTTGTATGACGCGGCCCGGGATCGAACCCTGGACCTTCCACTCTCCGGGCGGACGCTCTACCACAAGACCACGGAGGCGGTCGATAAGATAAGATAGGATAATTTATTACAAGAACATTCCAATTAGGAACAGATGTAACCAGACAAACATCTAGTCTAGGAAATGAACATATCGTACAGAAAAAAACCCAGATGTTCGGTTATCTTAATAAAAATATTAGAAAAGGGAGCCCAGTGACTCTCTTCATTTTCAGATACTGCAGTAATCTAGACTTGCAAAACATTATAGACTTGCATGGGTTGTATTTGATATATATTTGTATCAGGGTCTGTAAGACAGACTAGGCAATAGTATCCACACTCAGGGCCAGTCAAAGGCAATGCAATTTGTTGCGTAGAGAGTTGTTTCCCTTAGACATAACAAGAGTTCGAATTCACTCACGATATCTGAACGGAGGAAGTGTTACATGATATTGAATATCTCTCCAGACATCCTCGCGTGTCCAGTGTATATTATCTCCATTTTATTACGAATAATACCCTGGATCTATTCACAAGAGATCTCTCCCTGAATGCCAGTAGATTGGGGGCTATTCATAGCGTCGCCTGTTTCGAATCGGACACAGAACCAAGGTGTCTCGAAGGTATTTATTAAGCAACTCGGCACAGCAAAATGCGGCGCCCTACACGACTTGGCCACCCGTGCTCCCCCTCCACTTCAACCCCAAAACCCCACTCCCGACCCCAACTCTACCCCCCACACCCCCACTCCCAACCTCCCAGCTGTTATAAAGAATACACACATTGAATAACGCCTCCAGTAGTGATCTATTTGTTTATTTGTTTGTTTTTTGTTTGTTTGTTTTGTGCAATATTCCAGCTATATGACGGCGGTCTG